AAAAAAAAAAAAAAAAAAACTAAACTAAAATAACTATATAACTACCCACCCCGTGCAATTGATTTTCTTTTTTTTCACACGCGATTGACTTGAAAAAAAATAAAAAAAAAAAAAATAATATTTTTCAAAGTTTTTCATTTTTTTTTTTTATTAAAAAAAACGTCAAAATTTGTTTTTATTAAAATATAAAAATAATCTTATTATATATATTTATAAAATAATGGATAACACCGCTACATTGGATATCCAGAAATCTCAAAATTCAAAATTTATTTTTCCTTCTCAACAACCTCAAATTTATGGTGAACAGGCTTTAGATAGATATCCCTATATTAATAGTAATAATCATCTTATCGGTAGTAATAATCTGGAAACACTTTTAAATGCTGCCATTGAAGTTGCTCCAACCGGTTTAGCACCTCAAAAACGTAATTTTCCAAATCATTTTGTGGAAAGAAATAATGAAAATCAATCATTATTAAACTTGAACCGTCGTAACTCTTCGGTTTCACATGAAAAACATTCAAATCAACTTTCTTATCACGAAGAAAATCAAAAAATTAATAATAATATTCAAGAACATACTACTTCTTCTTATCATCCAAATCGTTTACTTCCTCCTCCTATTACTAATTCACCACGTAAAATTGATTCAAATGGTGTTTTAACTCCTGCTGCTATGTCAATTTCTTCTTTAATTGATTTAGAACAACCAATGCAATTATCTACACCTTTAACACCTCCAGATACTACTTTAAATATGTTTCCTGGTCTTTCAACTAGTCCAACAAAAAATTCTCCTATTTCTTCACCTGTTCCTTTAACTTCTTCTTCTTCTATGGTTCCATCTGCTCCAATGTCTGTACCTTCAACTTCTGATTCAATTCCATTCCCTCGTTTACAACCTTCTCCACCAAGTAATATTTTCTTAAATTCTTTTCCACTTCCAAGTGTTAATCAAGCTATTGGTGATGTTGATCGTTCTCGTAATTCACCTCCTCCTTTAATTTCAAATTCAAATAAAAGAAAATGGGATACAACTGATAATAAATCTATAATTGGTGGTAGTCCTTATATAGAAGATTCAAAATCTTTTTCAAAAATACATCGTTCAATTGATGATTATAAAATTAATGAACCTATACAACCAATGTTATCTTCTCCTTCTCCTTCTCCAAGACTTCAAGATGGACAATATCATCAAATTGATGGTAATAATAATTCAAATTCATATCAAATGACTACTATAACTTGTCAACATGCTTCAGTTGCACAAAAATCATATGGAAGTGAGAAAAGATTTTTATGTCCACCACCTGTAGTTTATATTGATAGACCAAATTGTAGAAATTTTGTTGGAAAACCTGAAATTTCTATGTCAGTTGTATGTGAAAATGGTGAACGTTCATTAGAACAAAAAACATTAATTGATGAAAATATGAAAGGAACCTTTAAATATTTACATGTTAGTGGAACAGCTAAAGCAAAATATTTTGAACTTAAATTAAAAATTTTTAAGCAAAATTCAACTATTCCATATGCAGTATTCGATTCATCACCTGTTACTATTATATCAAAACCTTCAAAGAAAACTGCTAAAGCAAGGAATGTTTCATCTTGTATATTATCTGGATCTCAAGTTTCTCTTTTTAATCGTATAAATTCACAAACAGTACGAACTAAATATATGGGTATTGAAGGAAATCAATTATGCGCTAAAAATTCTTCATGGTCACCATTTGTTATTACAGTTATGAGTAATGATAATAATAATAATAATATAAATAATCATAATGGATTAAATTCTTTTACTTCAACAAGTATATTACCAAAAATGACACCACCATCTCCTTCATCATGTTTAAATAATACTATACAAGTAACATATGGTTCAGAAGTTGTTTTAAGTGATCCAACTACAGGTTTTCAATCTGAACGATTGATTATACGTAAAGTTGAAAAAGGTCGTATTACACAAGGAGCTTGTGGGCCTGTTAGTCAAATGCAAAAAATCGCTTTACAATGTGCTCGATCAAATAATAGGAGAGAATCTCTTTATCTTAGTGCGGCAGGACCTATAACGATGGATAGTCCACATTCACAAGATCAATGTACTGTTAGTGGTGCATCACCTTACCTTGGATATCAATCTTCTCGTGTTGTTCATATGCAAAATGTGGAATTTACTAAAGAACCATTTAGAATGGTTAATATGCAAAACATTCCATGTACCACAAAAAGTGATACAGTTATTGCTCCAACTACTGTTGAAGAAGTAGATGACTATTTATGTTGGACGATTGTTGGAATTTGTAAGTATATTTATTATATATTAATTTTTTTTCAATTATTTCATTTCATTTTCATTTAATTCATTTTAATTTATTTATTCTTTTTTAGCTAAATTTCAATATACATTTTATGAACAATTGCCGTCTGCATCAACTCCAAGTACACCTCTTTCTCAATAAGATATTATGAAATTTGAAATTTATATGGAATATTGTTTTATTTTTTACTTTTTTTTGTATATAGCCAACCATAAAAATATTTTTCATATGTACATACAAATATATATATATATATGTTAATTATATGTAGAGTTATCAGATATTTCTTTTTTTCTTTTTTGTACAGATAAACTAAGATTTTTTTTTTTTTTTTGTGAATCCTCAAAAAAAAATTATATATATACATTTCTATATCTTCTATCTTAAACCTCTTAAAACCGCGAAAAAATTATTTTTAAGAAAAAAAAAACAAAAAAAAAAAAGAGACTAATAAAATTTTAACGCGTCTCAATAAGACTGAAAAAAAACTGAAAAAAAATTTTTAATAATAAAAAAAAAAAATGCACGTGCCAAATGTCAAAAATACGCTATATAATAACTGCTATACGTATTTAGTAAATTGTCAATAACGTTTTATCAGGTAATCTGTAGAATCTCTAATTACGCAACAATAATATTACATATAAAGTTTCATGATGTTAATGATGTCATCTATAAATAACTACTTGTCACACTATGTCACGTAATATAACACAGAAGGTAAAGAAGGTAATCACACGAAACCACGGTGTCCAAGAAAGGTTTATCTATTATCGTCGTACGAAGAATCGGAAGGGAAAGAGCACAATAGATAGAAAATGTTATAGCACTAAATATTCCGGTGTAAATGAAATTATTATTTATATTGTTCACACAAAATTAAACACAATCTTTTTTTGTATTTCGCCAAATTAACGCTCATTGAAGCCCAAAAAGAAAAAGAAATTCAATTCAAATCACATGCTTTTAAACCAAGTTTGGGAAGTGACTTAGATGAACAATGAAGTATACCTGTTCTTTACGGCAATCATATGATAATTTAAGGAATGATTTACATTATGTAGGGAATCTTCGGATGATGCTTTGAGAATTTTTTTCGTGGGAAAATTATGAGCAAAAAAAAAAATCTAAACTTTATCATAAGTACAATATCAAAATATTTATTTTTTTTTTCATTATCTAATTACGGTTTAGTTCTCCGTATGCCCAATATGTTCATGTATGTATTCAATCAAAAAAAAAAGAATTAAAAATTCATGCGCTTTTTCTTTTTTTATTTTGGTAAGGAAAAAGAAAAGAAAAAAAAAAAAAAAATTTTTTTTTTATATATGTATGTAATGTATGTAAGATCATCATCCCCCACACTTATAAAGTACCTAAAACTGCATTAGCGCCCAACTTTATCTTTTTTTATACACATTTGTTATCTGTTCTATGTGTGACAAGAAATTAATCTTTGGTTCCTCAAGATAAAATTGATAAGATCAAAAAATTCATTAAATAATCGTCTTAAAAGACATAAATAGTACACAAGGGGAATAGAACGGAACATTGACATTCTTTTTGCATTATAATCGGTCATTTTAAGGAGAGGGCGTTTTGTTATTAAATAAATATCGATTTGACCGATAAGCATTTTTTTATATTTTTCTTTAATATCTGATGATTTTCTTTGGGGAATTTGTGACTAAGTTTGGGAAAGATGAACCTTTCATTTAAAATAAAAGTGTTGATTTCCGAAACTTTTTTTTTTTTTCATGATTTACAATAGATCAAACCGTGGGAATATGACGTGATTAAATCTAAACGTGCGAAAAAAATAAAACGTGAAATCTCAAAAAAAAAAAAAAAAAAAAAAAAAAANAAAATGCCACACGCTTGTCAACTAATGAACAATATTCAAATGATTATGACAGAACAATATATATAACTAGAAAAGGCTTATCTCTTTTCTTTATCATAATGTCATTCCAATAACCTGTTTTTCGGGTTCTTTCATATTTTTTTTTTCTTTTTTGTTTAAAAAAATTAACAGCCTTACACTTTTAACTATATAAATAATACGGAAATATAAAAACGTTTCATAGAAGTTTCTTTTAGAAGGTTCATTATTATTTGTCCGTTCCTGTTTTTTATTATTTTTGCGACTTTATTTATTCCTTTATACAATAGAATAATAAACGATTCAATGAAACTTGCATGAATTGTTACATCTCTGATAGATTAAAAATTGTCTCATGTAGTTACTCTAAATCCTCTCAAAGAAAAAAATTAATATATTCGGATTAAAAACGATTAAAGTAAATCGATCTACATCTTACATTATCAGTTATCAATTATTCATTGTTTGCATCCGCAGTAATTTTTTTATTTGGAAAAGATCGCTTTTTTTTAATTATTAATTACGAGATCACACGGTCCTAAAGTTTAATCTTTAAAAAAAAGATTTATCTGATCATGTGATGAATTGCGGATAATGCGGATTACGAAAATGATCTGCGCGGTAATATTCGTAATAATATTCGTAAATATTGCATCAGGATGCGTCGGGAATGCGCCGGGAATGAGCCGGACTGCGGGTATTTTTTACTACGGAATGCTTTAACTAATATATAATAAATCATAAAGCTGAAAATTTTGTGATGCAAAGAAAAAAAAAAAAAAGAACATGTTAATTCTTGAATAATAGGATTTTTCTTTTTTTAATTCAAGTTTTGATTTTTTTTCACAAATATATGGAAAGTGATCTTGAGAATTTTCGACAACAATGGCAACAAGAAATATTACAACAAGGACAACAAAATCAAGATTTGAAAGATGTCAATGTTTCAATCATCACAAATAAACAAAAAGACACGATTAATTTAGAAAATTCAACGTTAATTCCTCTAATCGAAGAATCAAAAAATGATGGATTAATCAATTCATTTCGTAATACGATACTTGATTTATTACCATTGAATCCAACCAAAAAAATTCATATATCAAAACTTCCAAATGAATTAATAATTTGTATTCTCAAACAATTAATTCTTACTGGAGATGTGAATTCTTTGGAAAATGGATTTGCATTGGTTTGTAAAAAATTCTTTTTATTATCAAGGGATAGTTCGATATGGCATTTATTATGTGAAAAATTTTATTGCAATAATGTGAATAATCATAAAGAATTGATCCAAATATGCGTAAATGCTCACGGAAATGATTGGAGAAGAATGTATATTGAAAGGTAAAATATAAATTAAAAGTTTATCATAATTAAATTATGCGTATTAAACTTCATTTTTTTTTTTAAGGCCACGCGTAAGATTAGATGGAGTTTATATTTCAAAGTGCAAGTATCTAAGGTAAAAATTACTTTCTTCACTAAGCGAAATTGAAATAATTGAAATACAGTTTAAGAATCATTATCTTATTAATTTTTATTATTTTTATTATTAGGCCTGGATTGGCGGAAAATACGTGGATACAACCAATTCATCTTGTAACTTATTACAGATATATTAGACTTTTTTCAGATGGTTCATGTATAACATTATTAACTACAAAAGAACCATCAAAAGTTGTAAAGAATTTTGATAAATTTGTTCATATGTTAAAAATATCAAAGAAATTTAAAAATTTTATGATTGGATATTGGAAAGTCATAAAAAATGATGATGATACTGATGATATTTCAAGAAAGAATCAAGTGATTATAGAGGCTAATGATAAGGATTTACCTAAATTTACTTTTCATTTGAAATTTGATTTGAAATCAACATCTATTGGAAAATTTAATAAACTTTCTTGGATTGGTATGTAATTTTATTTTAAACAATAATACGTAAAAAAATATTTCTTTTTTTTTTATTATCTTTATTTTTTTTTAAAAATAAATTTTTTTTTATTTTAGAATATTATAGTGTTAATAATCTAACAACCGAAAAAATTGAATTATTGTTGAAAAATGAGAATAATTTTTATTTTAGTAAGGTAAACAAACCTTCCAAAATTTTTCCCACTAATTTACCATTGTAAATATTATATTATTAACTAATTATTTTTTATGTTATTATAGGTAAAAAGTTATGATGTGAATTTATAACAAAATTTTATTCATTAAATATTTTGATTTTTTTTTTTTTATATAATTCTAAATTTTTGATATTATCATTATCATTATAAATAAAATAATTCTTTTATTGACGTCCGAAATTAAAGAATTTTAAATTGTCCAAATTTTATAATTATGTTTATCATCTTTCGCAAGGTTCAATTAAAAAAAAAAAATTTAAATGAATGTATGACAACATAACCACCCAAAGTACAATTTTAATCAATTAACTTTGAGTTATTTCTCAAACAATTGCCATTTCATTTAACTAGATCACCAGGACCGAATGCTTGCTAAAATATTAAAAAGGCATTCAGGCAGAATTCTAGTATACGAATGATTGATTGATTGCTTTTTTTTAAAAAAAAATTATCACCTATTTGTGTAATTATTAACAATTATGGGATTTTGTGTCATGTACCTGTAATTATCAATTACATCAATAGATAAGGCCGTTCAAATTAAATAACTGAGAAGAGTGATGAGATGTATTTCCAAAAATTTCAGTATATTGCGTACTGAATTCAAACAATTTAATTTGATATTAAACTCAATCATACAACACCTGTCTCTTATACACATCTAGATGTGTATAAGAGACAGCCCCCCAACCGTAGTACTGACTGGGCCATCAGTGGCTTAACTTCGGAGATCGGACGGGTTCCGGTGCTTTTCACTGTGTATGGCCGTAACTGACAGATTTATTTATTAAATTTTTTTAAATCTTTATTTTCTTGTAAATTTTTATTAACATTTCGCGTCATTTCTCAAAAAATTTACGTATTTCATGAGAATTTTTATTCTTGTACGTACGTTAGTCTTACCATCTTTTTTTTTAAAGAATTAACACGAATTACATGATCAACTACTATAATAAATTAATCGGCTTATCTTGGTATTTAGGACCAATTAGTATATCTAGGATGATAAAAAAGTCTAGTTTAGTATATAAATGGGTCGGATGATAACCCATTTATATACTACTAGATCAGTAAATAACTAATAATATTATGATCCGTTCCATTTTTAAGAAGTTCTCCAAGAGATTGGATAATTTTGATTCTTCTTCTTTTAAATTATATTGTATGGTTAAATTTTTAAAACTGAAATGATTTTTTTTTTTTTTTGAAAAAATAATTCACATAAAAATTCAAAAATTAATATTAAAATTATTTTTAAATAATCTTAGTATATTGAGCCATGATGGGCGATTTCACACAATCCGATACCTCCCAACCTCAATTCACGATAGTTGATTCTCTTGGAAACAATCTGACCCCAATAGTCATTAACGGGACAACATGTTTTGATATCATGGAATCCCGCGGATATAACATTCAGCTTGAACGGTCAGGTTTTCTTCACGCTAAAAACACAGATCCAACAATGTACAGTTCTTTTTTTGACAGAGCAATAATGGGAGGAGAAAAAAGAAAAATTTCTAATAAGAGTATGCAAGAAGTGAATGTAAACTGGATATTAAATTCTCAGGAACCAACTCCAATTGCTTTTTTTCGTTTAACGCTCAGAAACTAAATGATTGGAACAATGGTAATAACCCACTATTAATCATTGCAAATTTGCAACCATGATTATTGCGTTTCGTCATTAGATTCTGCTCTTTATAACATAAGCCTCCCAATTTTTTTGATTTTTCACATTAGGTTTATTTGGTCGTACTGATCTAAAATGACAGAATTGGATACTACGCTCTTCTCTGTTGCTGTTCGCCACTTTTAATCATTTTATTATTGGCGTTTCTTTTGTTTTTATTTCTCCTGGAGAATCTTACTAAACTTCTAGTATTACTTGTGTATTTTGGATATAAGTGGATAAGGTAGATTCGTCATTCTTTTGCAAATTGACAAAAATGCCGATACTTGCAAGATATTTCTTAAGGAAAACTACTTCAATGAAATTTCCAACGAAGTTTTCTAAAGAAACAAAAAAACAAGTTACTTTATGGGGTGAAATTATTCGAAATAAACATAAGGATGATGGTGATGATGAAATTTTTTGAAAGACCCGTTATTAATAATTGAATTACTTTGGGAGTTATCCTTGGATTGCATCGATCAAAAATTAGAATTGTAAAAAAAGAATGAGAATAAACCACATTCAAATTTCATTGAAGGTTTATCGCAGATAATTACAACGTTGGATATTTTCTTGGACACATCTTCGCAGGAGTCCGAAAATGATGAATTTTACATTAAAATTTATGAATATAATCAACCAGTTCTTATCAGCCGAAATATTATTATGAGAGGTATTAAACCCTACAGCTGAGCAAATACAACACGCAAAGAAACAAAGGGAACAGATTTATGATGATAAATTTATTTTACTTCTAGTAAACCTCCAGAAAACGCTCCTGAATGGGCGTACAACAAGAAGAAGATATATGACAAAACAGACACATAAACACAGAAACTGATGTTGCCAACAGTATAACCATAAATATTCTATTTTCTGGGAGGAAATAATTAAATATCAGAGAAAATAAAAAGTTTCCATATGATAAAATTTCTGAAATTCGAGTTACTTCATTGTTTGGTAAATTAGATTTAAGCCAAGAAAGGAAGAAGATGATCATGATGATGAGATCAAAAAGTTTTTCTAACTTCATTTTCTGGATTATTAATTAAAGGAACTCAAAACTATATTCCCAAAGCAACACTTGCAACAATCAAATTCTGTAATCGCATTTAACAGTATGCAGACAGTAGATGAAGCTCCAGAAACAGTATGCAGACAGTAGATGAAACTCTCAGAGATTTATATAATGTTTATCATAACACTGCAAGATCCTATTGTTGGACGAGTATATGTGATGGAATTTCGCAGGGCCAATACATTTTATGAGAAGTTTTAAACCTATAGTAAGTTAGGTTTTATAGATTTCCTTTCCCCTTTTTCATTTACTTATTTGTCTTTACCACAGCTCAAAACCATGAAGAAAATTTTAAATGTTCACAAGAAACTTAAGTTTTTTCATGCTAAATTCAAGACTTCAAAGTGTTTTTTTTTTTTTGCATTAAGTAATTTTGATGTTAATAGTATTTTAAAAATATTGAGCTTACTACTTGTTAATAAATAACTGCAAAACTGAATTATTTTCACGAAATATATGCTTACTGAAAAAATAATTACCTGATAAAACATAAAAGTATTTAAAGTTTCAAGTTTACTAGATAATTTGGAATATCTACATATGAGTCTTCGTAATATCAAACATACCTTAAGGCAATCCAATTTTCTTCGCACAATTCTTGATCCCGTGCTTACTGTTTGATAAAATTTTTGGGATCTCGGTGGAAAAATTTTATATATTTTTCAATGCTCTCCTTGTACTTCGATTGCAAATCCATATTATGGGTAATAAATGTAAAGTTCTGGAGTTTAAAGAAAATCAGGTCGCGTATCTTAGGTGGCGGTCCAAGATATTTTGATATAATACTATGACATAGTCTCTCACCTTTATATTTACTGCAATATGGACACCATGTGTTTTGATTTTATAACGGAGAAACAAGCATATTTGCGACCTTCGCCACAACGCCATAATAATGGCAAATCACCATTAATATATTTTCAGAAATGCATAAACCAATTGACGTCTTTAAGAGTATATTTCACATTGCCTACACAATAAGGTGTTATTTCTACATACAAAATTAGTGAAAGCATTTCATTCATGACCTAAAGCACAATAATGGTAACTCGCCATTAATAATTTTATCAAAAAGGCGTTCACCATTTCTTTCGTGCGCAATTTTTCTAGCAATATCAAGTGTGAATTCTATCGACTCGAAATATTTACTATATCTTTAATGAAAAAATTATCATACAGTGACGAATAGTATATAACGGATAATGCATATTCAATTTGAGTCAAAGAACGGTACATTATATTTAATATATTTTTCAATACAAGTTACACAATCTGTTATACACAAATAAGAAGTGAAAATTTATTTGAAAAGAATAATTTCAAGAATTTACATAATATATTTTCTGGTCCCCATACGTATTTATTATTTATGGCAAGATTCCTTATTCTATTCCATTTAAAGAGTATTTAATTATTGTGAAACTATGCAAAACCAAAAAAAAAACGCCAATTTTCATCTTATAGAGAGAATTAAATGAAAATTAACGAATCTTTGATACGATTTATTATAAAATTTACTCTCTAAAGTGTAATCTTTTCTAATTCTCCCAGAATTGTTCCCGCCTTTTCCCTGATCTTTTCAAAATCAAGTTCGTAATCGTCTTCAGGAGTAATTTCATCCCTTCCCTCGAATGACAATGGAATGTAACTTTCGGCAAGGCCAAAAAATTCCGAACTTTTAATATATACTTCTTCGCTATAGCGATTTCTATCATTACGATGGATCCTTAAATATTCTAGAACTAAATCGTCACGTTCGCCTTCAGAATTGGCAATTTGTTCGAGTATGTCTTCGTATACTAAAAGTATGATCGCCCTTAATTTGTATGGTGGTTTGGTCTTCGTCGAGTACCCATCCGGACCATAAAAAATAATCTTTCTCCCCTCCACGATAAATTATAAGACATCGGTACGATGTGTGATCAACTACAAAGTACGCACCTTGATTTTTGTATGTGCCAAGGTTAACATCATTTGCATTTCTGTCAATAAATGCTTGAAGGGTTTCTAGAAGTTTTTTACGATTTTGACTATTCCAGTCGTCATCTCGATCGAATCCCCAATCGGTTTTGTGATGACTAAATAAGTGTTGCAACCCTTTTTCGACATAATGTACACGAGACTTGTCAAAATGTGCAAAATCTGGGCTGAGTACATTCATGTGTGCATAAGTTTTATACACGTTATGAGATTCGTATGTGTTTAACCTGATTTGATTTTGACTAGATACGGTTCCAATCCAATAAGAGCCAGTAAAAGAATATCGACCATCGGTTAAAGTTTCACGATGGCTATGGTTGGCGATATAAAACCAATGTCCAGTGAGCCAATCCGTATTTTCTTTACTATTATTCTCATACAATCCGATCCAGTCCCATGTTGATGGCGTAATAATGGACCATTCAAATTTGAGACAACCTGACTTTATAACGCACTTTATGTAACAAATTTCTCTTCCTTCCGGTTCATTCATAGTTCTTTGGACATGAATGTTTTGTTGATCTTCATCCATCCTTTGAAATAAAGAGAAAATTTGTCGAGTAGAAGAAAGGAAATTTCTGAGTGAGAAAAATTTTCATTCGTATTATATACTGTAAACAATTAAATTGACATTATTAAAAAGAAAAATGCAGCTTAGAAACATCATCATCCTACTTCTAAAAATAGATTTTTATTATACTGATCAAATGAACAATTATGATAGACTTTATTACTTTTATTCAAATTTTGGCACATGAATGCCGAAACAATAAACATACGAATAAAGTCAATTAACTTTTTTTAAATCTAGCTCCTAGTCCCTTATAAGTTTGTTCTTCCCTTTTTGAAGTTCGAGAGATGCATTTAATCCAAAGATTTACGTTTCGAGGGGCTGTCTAAAAGCATTTCCCCTACATCGCCATAAAAAATTCTCACAGGAGTGCCACACTTAATTCCATTTAATTTTGATAGAAAAAATTTTCTTGATACGGGAGATATATCCTACCTGTCACATGATTTCGCGAATATGTAAATTTAATATAAATTTTATTAACTTTGCCAATATTTAATACAATAAATTTGCCCATTGCCCAAATTTCCTAATTTATATACTTTTACATAACCAATAAACGGATCTGTATTATACCCTACATATGGGGACGGGTTGTCCAGGTTCGTATGGTTCTCAACAAGGTGATACTGTTCAGATTTGGGCGGTTTGGTTTACGGTTTTATGGTGTTACTAGGTTCTATCACTTTTGTAATCTGTTCCGTAGGCCGTAGCTTAATTCACTGAAATAAAAATAAAATTTAATCTAATGTGCGAATAGTATCCAAACAAAAAAAATCTTTTATTCTTGTATTTATCAATATAGTTAATGGAAATGCTATACTAATATAACCTTATAAAAAATTAAATGTTTTTTTTTTCAAAAATTTCATAATACTTACACGATTCTTAAGATCTAAAAACGTTACAAATTCTTTCAAATCGATTCTTCACATAAGGCCTTCTTCTAGATGTATCCACCGGTTTGAGTAGATTATTTAGTGATAGTAGTTTAATAGTACTGTTTCAATTTGTGATTCTTTATACTATTCGCACATTAGATTAACTTTTATTTTTATTTCAGTGAATTAAGCTACGGAACAGATTACAAAAGCGATAACCCATAAAACCGTAAACCAAACCGCTCAATACTAATCGAGGGGCAAACGTTTCTCAGGATCGGACTGTAATAAAGACGAAATGAGATTTTTGGCTTCCGAAGAGATTGATTTGGTACTACCGTGGCAATTTTTTGATAAGTTTCACATAAGATTTCAACAATAAAAGGAGGCTTCCCAAACAAAAATTCATAACACAACATTCCAAGCGCTCACGAATCTATCTTTTGGCCATAACCCGTGTCTTTGATCATTTCAGGTGCCAAGTAATAAGGCGTACAGCTGTCTCTTATACACATCTAGATGTGTATAAGAGACAGGTAATAAGGCGTACAGGGTGTCATATGTATCTAGCTTGCGTCTGGTGTATGAATTGTCCATCCGAAATCCGAAATCTTTATCTTATCATCACTTGACAATAGTATATTATTTGGCTTCATATCTCGATGAATGACTTTTTCTTTTGAAGATAAAGTCCATTGTTTTGTTAGGCAATTCCATGTTCTCCTTTTGTTTTTATAAAAAAGAATAAAAATGAACTTTTTTAAAAAGAAAAAAAATATTTTTTTTTATTTTAAGATATAGACGGAAACAGAGGAGAATAGGAGATACAAAGATACAAAACAAAAAAATACGGCCATGATACATATATAAAAAATTGGACTGATGTTATTATCACGTAATTAAATAGTTTTACGTGTTTTACGTGTTGTTAACTTTTCAGTTGCGTTTTTTTCGTTTTTTTATTAGTTTTTAGTTCGTATTTTTTCATATATAAAATACTTATTTAATTTTTACTTTCATTTTACAGAGTAAACCAGTTACATAAACTACACGAAACTATAATATAAAATATTCCACTTTATTTGGTTGTCCGGAGCCGAAGCGAAGGACTATACATATGACATATGGATCACGTGCGCACCTCGCCGAAACTTTGTGCTACATAGATAAACAAACTGACGAGCGTTACAAAATATACTGCGCAAAATTAAAAACTTTAGTTAGATTTGTAGAAATAAAGTAATGTATTTTATTTATTTATTTTTTTTTATCATTATACTCAAAGGGAGCAAACTATCTTTATTAAATTTTATCAGTAGGTTAAAATTATAAACTTGCGGTTTTGATTGAAAAGTCTTCTTGAATTGTCTTTCTTGATTTCTTGATCTGCCCATTTTCAAGTATTCAGGGAATCCTATTAGTACCTGTGGCTTTATTTTCAGGATTGGAATAGTCTTTGGACTTGTCTTGATTTCCTGACCTATTTTTAGATTTTCTAGTAAAATAAAGAGTACCAATCTAGTGTTTTGCCTTCAATTTTGTAATTACATCCTATAAGATTGTTTAGATCTTCTCACTTTTCTGAAGTTTGCATTTGTGTTCCTCAGTTGTAATAATTTTAAAGGCTTCATAACCATTAATAGCCATTAAAGTCAGATGGAATTAGTTATTATAGAAGTAATAGAATAGCATTGCAATTATCATTGAATTTGATATATTAAATAGAGCTGCTTGGAATTTTTTCCTTTCTTTCTTTTATAAAAAGATCAGGTAGCTGGATACCACCTTATTAGAATGTTTTCTAAGGATGCTGTTCAGGTACCATTATCTCAGGTTTGCTTATATTATGTATTCATCTTTAATTTAAGTCTTATTATATTATATTTCTTTTGCTGAATAATTTTAATGGAGACAACTTGCAAAGCAAGTCAGTATTTTACTAGATTAAAGAAATATTGTAAATTATAATCTTATTGATATTAACTAATACAGTTCACCCTCGCTATAGTGAATTTTTATATAGTGAATAATTTGCTATAGTAAAGAAAAGCTCAGGTACGGATTTTCTATATAAATAATAATTCTTAATACAGTTCACCTTCGCTATAGTGAATCCCTTACTATAGTGAATCTTAACCTTCAGCCCATAAGCTTCACTATAGCGAGGGTGAACTGTACCTGTTCTATTGATTGATATCCTATAATTATGTACATGACCTTCTTCTCAATAGTTTTAAAATATTTGATTTTTTTGTCCTTTATTATAAATGCTAACTTTGGCTTAAGTACTAATATGCTAACCCTTAAATCATTCAAATAGTTCTGCAAGTAAAGCTTCTTCTATTTTAAAGAAACTTTATAATAAAGAAATTAGCAGTTTCAGCTTTTTTGTAGAGTTTATTTATTCTTTTTATGTTTACATCTCAATAAAGTTACAGGTGATATAAATAAATTTATTATAGGAAGTTATACTTATTCTAATTGGTGTAATGTATTATCAGAAATTACTATTTTTAGTGAATTTGATGAATCTGCATCATCTTAATCCAAAGTAAAATTCATATCAATTACATCACCTATTAGTTGAATTTGTTAATTCTGGTTATCCTAAAAGGTTTTAACAAAATTCAGATATATCTTTCCAAAAGTCTTAAGAATAATAATAATAGTTTGATTTTCAAAGAATTTTAGCAAAGTAGTAAAGATGTTGAATTCTCCATCAATATCTTCATAATTAATAAGTCCTGGTATAGTGATTATTACTTTTATAAAAAAGTTCTCAATAAATGGAAATATTTGCTTGTAAAAAATCTAGTATAACTGAATTATAAAGCTTCTTTTTTAACTTTCTTAATAAAATATTCAATAACTACAATTGCTATTGATATAGTTAAATAGCTAGGCATTAGAACTCTTCAAAAAAGTAGATGTTTTCTTTTTTGCATTGATTTTTCCTATTAGCTTTTGTTGAAAAATATTTTCTGTTTTTCATGTAAAATTCTGGAAATAAAATCTATAGAAGAGTGTTTTCTCTCAATATATTTTATTTAACAATATAAATATATGCTAAATATAATACTAGACAGATATAATATTAGTTTTTTATTTTTTTTATATATTGTTTTATTAAATTCAGTTTTCTGGTATTATGAAAATTAAATATTCTTTTTTGTCTAATTTTTCTTGTAATCTTTTACAGTTTTTAATATGCTAAAATCTCTTAAATTGAATGGTTTGAGAAAAAGAATTTTAAGTATATATATTTAAGATACTATCAAAAAAGAAAAAACTCCTTATTATTGAAATCTATTATAACTTATTGTAATTTAAAATCTGATTTTAATTACAGGTTGAAGAAGTACTTTTGTCATAAAATTTACCTGAAATTTTTCTGGCAAATTGAGAATTATCAGAGTTTTACTTATAAAATAAGTCACTTTCAAATTTAAAGTAAAAATTGTATATAAAATTCTTTGCAGATCTTATTATAAAAGGAAATTTTATGTTACATTGTTATAATTTTTCCCTTTTTAGCTAATTAACTAATAGAATTTAAGAAAAAAGTAAGGTAAAAATCATAATTTTCTACAGTAACTTTTATTATAAATAAATGAAGTTCTGAATTATTCCAGTAAATTAGGATAAATTGTATTATAATTTTTGGATAATAAAAAGACCTATAATTAGGCAAATATTATTTAAATAAAGTTATTTCTATAGAATTCTTATTTCAAATGTTAAGAAATTTTTTAGTAATACTAAATAAATGATTATTAAATTGTTGGAAAATTTAGGTAAATTTTTAGTAATATTATATAGCAAATTATGGTGAATTTAATTAAATTTTTAGTAATATTATACAAATAATATAATGTAAATTGTAGTGAATTTAATCAAATTTTTAGTAATGTTATATAAATATGATGCAAATTGTAGTAAATTTAGTTGAATTTTTAGTAATATTATGCAAATGTAATGTAAATTATAAAAAATTTAGTCAAATTTTTAGTAATGTTATATAAATTGTTATAAATTTAAATAAATTTTTTAGTAATATTATATAATGCAAATTGTAGAAAA